TCTATTTCGAAAACGTTTTGTATTGTCGGCGTTTCTCGTTAAAACCTAGTTGTTTTGTCATGGACAAGGACAGTTTTTCAAAAAAAAGAATCTGAGGTGAAGTGGACACTGCATATGACGCTGTTAGGAAGAAGTCCACCCCAACCTTTTTTCGTTATTTTCACGGCTTTCGTCCACCGATTTCGCACCTTCGGATCGATTGGAAACGTGTAAATACTTACACTATGACTATACGCATTACTGCAACCGCCCACAACACAACGTTTTAACCATCATAAAAGTTTGTTGTGAAAACAACTTCTAAAAATTCGCTCTCTCAAAAATAAAATAAAATAGACAAAAGAAACGCCGATTAAAAAATGTATATCGTTTAAAAGTACAGTTGTACATTGAATGACACAGTGATATAAAAGTACAGTCCATACAGTACAGTCTCATATTTTTGCAATTGGTGGCGCACTTTCGGCGAGAGTCGGAAATCCGGAAACAGTCGACCGTTTCATGATAGGTGGGCGTGGCTACATCACGGGAAATATCTTAAATTTACTTGGATACGAGTAATCATTTTCAGCAAAAAAATCAATAATTGCCCATTTCAGTGGGGCACAGATCTAAAATGGGAAGCGTGTGGGTGGGCATTGCACAGGCACTTTAAAGTTCAAAGGTTAAACAGTTGTTATCATGTCTATGGCATAAACAACAGGGGAAGTTGTTGAGCATTGTTTCTCCACACACAAAATTATAAAAACTAAAAAAAAATGTCAATGTTGATGCAACAAATGGATACTTTGCTGAAAAACAAAACAAAAATACTCACCAGAATTTTGGATCTTTTTTGTGTGCATTTTTATACTAAAGGTACCCTGGTAGAGTGGCAATGACACACTGACATTTGCCCTTATAATCAGAAGGGGAAAACAGACAAAAAAATGTATCCAATGGCGAGTTCACTGAAGAAAATATGACAATTTTTTTACACTTGTTTGTAATGTAACCAAGTTTGAGAAAGACAGAACAAAAAATACTTGGGTTACCATGGAAACGGAAAAAATTATTAACAACAACCATGACAACAAAGACAGACATAACTAGTTTACAACCTTCATTCTTATTAAAGGCAAGGCAAGTCAAACCGCAGTATACATGTGACTTTGTTAAAAATGTGACAATGTATCAATATCGTTCTTGTCATTGTTCAGTACGTGAACAATCAATAAAGTAGAGTAAAGACAGTCAAACGACAGAATTGTTGGCAGCTTGCTGAATTCATTGAATTAACAATGTGATCCCTGATTGGCTAATTGTTTGGGTGTTAGAGTTTGGTAGCCAATGAGAGGTAGTCTTGTATAAACTCCTCTAAATGTACATCACATATAATGTTCTCAGGATTCATGACAATTTGATTCCTTGTAAATTCTGATTCAGGCTTATCATGACCTTCTCTTGACGTTTTTCTTCTTCTTTGAAAGCTTCTTGATTGGCTTTCTTTTCAATTCGGCGTTCCTGAAATGACATCACATAATTCTAAATAAATAAAAATAAATGTTTTGTAAAACATGTCTTTTTAGCTGACATGTTATTTTAGCTAATTTAGCTAATCTGTAATTTTACCAATTTAAGAAGTCACTAATTTAAAACAAAGTATAATATTTTCACACTGAGACTGTTGGTACTTTACCAACTTAAGATTCTGCTAATTTGTCAAATTCACTAAAATGACAAGTCACTATTTTAAAGTGTTTTACAGTATATTTTAGACATCTTATAGAGACTCTAGGTCAATTTACTCTTGCAAAACAAATGTTTGTGAGTCGGAAAAATCACTGAGACCATTTGAACAATGAGTCACAACGACTATGCAGTTGAATTATCCTTTGATAAAAACAGATAGCGACTAAAGTTGATAGTTTTATGAGTTATATTCATATGCTGGTATAATTAACCCTTTGAAAGACAATTTTTGTCACTATTCACAAAATAATTTATTTTATATTAATTTTACAGAAAATTTAGACAAGATCTGTGCCCAATGTCAATTTGGTTCAAAATTAACAAAATTACATCTTTTCCTTCTAAATGATAGAAAATTTCATAAAAGTGTGGGAAAAGTTGCCCAAATTTCCAAAGGCCCTTGTTAATATCCACCATCACAAATGAAGCAATTATCATGCAAGTTTTAGTTCATCTGGCATAACAACAAGTTTAATTTTTCACATTTGTTACCGTGAATCATGCCAGGAAAAACTATGAAATGGAATGGTTAGATTCATTGGGTTTAGGTTTAGACATGGTGTAGTTTCATAGTTTGATTCAAACATGGGCCACTTCAGACATAGTTCATTTTAGACAATGGTTCACTACAAATTGCTTACCCGTCGTTGCTCCTTCACTTGATGTTTTCGTGACCTTCGTTCTTCAGGACTTTCACCTTTAACCCTCGGTGGGGCTCCCTTGGGTACGATTCTTTCAGATTCCAATTCTTCTCTCTCTATCTGTTTTTTTGTCGGCCCTGACTTTGGAAGAACATCTTTGGGAATCCCGGTCTTTTCAGAGAGTTTAATCTCTTTGGCTTTTCCCTGCAATTTTAATAGATACAAGTATAAGTATAATGACATTTGTAAAAGCAGTAAGCCAAATTCATAATCATGCTTACAACAGAGGGAACCGAGAAAAACTGACCAGGAAACATGCTATCTCCTTTAGTAACAAGATGACATTAATTGGTAGCTGTGATGATGACTCAATTTAAATAGAGAAGCAATAGACATTTGATAGTTCATGGTATAAAGGTCTCTCGATCCCAGAGTTCTTAGCGCAGACAGGCTAACACCTCTGCCACACATGACTTTTCACGCTATGATTTGCCACATATCAATACGCAGGCGTTGTTCGGTTATTCAAGCCGGCGGCTCATACCCAGTTGGAAAGGAAACTATTAAATCTTTCTCTTCCCATACACTTTCCATAACTTCCATCTGCTTTGGTTTCAATTCCACTTCATAATTGTATTCATTCAGAACACGTTTTAAAGTTCTAGCGAACTCCGCCATATTTAAATATAGTACAGATTTGACCTTACCAATTACCCTTGATTTGCATAAATGCATAATCAAACTGTGGCAGAGGTGATTTGATTTCAATACGACTGTCTTACCTTGCATGGTTCTTCTATCACTGTTGGCCGATTATATATATTTGAGTACGTTGATAATATTGTCTCACAATCCCATTCTTCTTTAGGTTCCTCTGTTACCATGGAAACCAATTCATCTTCCGAGCTTGATGTGCTGTAATCGTCTCCGTAATCAATATCTATTATGTCAGATTTTAGACTTGGGAGTCCCTTCCTGTCTTCATCGTTTTCGTTGATGCTGATGTTATCTCTGGTCTCGGCTGATTGACGGCGTCCAGGCATGTCTTCCGTGATGTCTGTTACTTTGCTGAAATTAAAGGAAATGTACTATCATGATAACTTACACTAGATGTTCATGAATGTACAATGTTAGCATCCTCCGATTCCATTTTGCTTTAAAAAAAGAACTGAGATATCTTCAAGAAAAAAAATCAAAATTGTATGTTCCTGTTGTGCCCCCTGATCTACTTTGCTTTGCACAGATTGTTTTATAAAACATGAATTTTCTTTCACAAAATTTCAAATTTCTCAAATTTGTTCAAAATAA